GGTGAAAGATAAGGCTTTCAGAACTCCATAAAGAGTCACAGTCGTGAAAGCCCACAGGGGCAGTTCTAACCTGCCCTATAGGGTTGCTCTGCGTCAGCATTGACAGAATGGCAGTGAGGTGGGGTGTTTGTAGTTTATTATTGCCCTGAATGTATTGGTCAGTTAATTTGTTTTACAAAAGCAGAATAACTGTGAGTACAACGGCAGCAGCAGCAGTCACCCATGGCTGCCGCAGCAGGCAGTGTCCCGTTCATATTTCCTGAGACCCTTTGTCATCGTTTAAGTTTTGGTGGTGGTGGTGATGAGGCTGTCCACAACAAAACCGCCGTGTTCAACTGTGGCTCCATGCATAGCTTAGGGGTATTGATTACATTCTTGCAGTGTTGGGTATCCATTCTCTCCCTCTCCCTAAAAGGTCTTCTTCTCCCATTAACATAAGCTTACTGCTTCTTAAATGGCCCTATCTAATCCTTTGAGTTGCTGCTGCCACTTAGAACCCATAGATCATAGATTAAGATAGCTCTTAAAAGAGCAGGAGGCTCAAGACAGACATTCTTTACTCTGGGAGCTAAGCTCTGGTCTGGTCTTAAGAAGCCTTCCCAAAGCTATTTTTGGTTTAAGATTTAAAGATTATCTCGGGGCATTCATTTAGGACTTCATCCAGCCCCCATGACTCCAGATAGTCTGGCGCCTCTGAGAATTTGAAGTTTCGTTCAGTATGTCCCCTCCTTTGATCAGGTTTTTTTCTGTAGACTCTTTGATCCAAATGTTCAGTCATGGAGGCCGGGCACCATCCAGTTCTTGTGGTAGAATGGCAAAGGAAGCAGTTCCTCATGGGGGCGAAACCAAACTCACCGCCATCGAAGCGATGCTGACTCATAGTGGCCCTGTAGGATAGGGTAGAACTGCCCCTGTGCACTGTGATTCTTTACAGCATTAGAAAGCTTTATCTTTCTCCCGAGGAGTTGGCTAGTGCTTTCGAACTGCTGACCTTGTGATTAGCAGCCCAATGCATAAACACTATGCCATCAGGGGGCCACAAATTCTATTTCATCCTCCTCCTATTCCTGACTCTCCTTCCTTTGTTGCAAATAGAGACCAATAGAGATCAATCATTGGTCAACCTTGACTGACTACTTGCAAGCTTGTAAGACCCCAGGCACTACACAACAAACTAGGAGGTAGTAGAGGGGAATTAAACACATTATTAGGCCAATTAACTGGGATAGCCCATGAGACCATGACCCTAAACTTCCAAGCTAAGAGACCACATCCCATGACGTTCTTGGTTGTGCATAAGCAACCTCCATAGCTACTCTTTTTGTTGTTGTAAATCTATGTATCACAGATCTCTCGCCAGTTCAACTTTTTACAGGTGTACATCTCCACTTTCTTGTGTCTCATGGTACCTCATTGACTTATGTCAAAACTTTTTCATTCATATTTTATAATGATTGGCTGTGTAACTCTCCTCTTAACCAATGCTATTTTTCCATCACAGTTAACCCTCTTCATCACCTCCCTCCTGTCCCTGGTAATCACTAATAAACTTTGGTCTCTATTCATTTGCTTCTTCTTGTCTCTTTATACGAGTGAGGTCATATAAGATTTGTCCCTTCGTGACTGACTTATTTCACTGAGTGCACGGTCTTCATGCTCCATCCATGTGGTAGCATGGATCAAGACTACATTTCTCCTACCGGCTGAGTAGTACGTCATTGTGCATATGCACCACCACGTTCTGTTTATTCAGTCATCTGTCGATGGACATTTAGGTTGTTTCCACCTGTTGGCTATTGGGAATAGGGCTGTACTGACTATTGGTAGACTGGTCTCTTTTTCAGGCGCAGGACAAGGCTCCCTACTCCTACAAAGAGGACCGCCTCAGAAACCCACAGGGGCAGTTCGATCCTGTAAGGTCACTAGGAATCGAAACTGACTCCACGGTAGTGAGCAGTGGGGGGTTTGTTTTGTTTTGTTTTGCTTTGTTTTAGTCTCTATTTAAGTCTCTGCTTTCCGATCTTTTGGGTTTATTCCTAGGGGTGGAATTGCTGGACCATTTGGTTGTTCTATTTTTCATTTTTTAAGGAACTCCCACACTATTTTCTACAAGGGTTGTGCCATGTTGCATCCCTATCAGCAATGGAATGTTGGTTACGTGTTGGGCTGCTAACTGAAGGTTAGCAGTTTGAAACCAGCAGCCCCTCTGTGGGAAAATAACGGGGCTTTCTACTCCCATAAAGAGTTACAGTCTCAGAAACTCAGGGGTGGTTCTCTCCTGTCCTGTAGTGTCGCTATGAGTTGGCATCAACTCAATGGCAGTGAGTTTGGTTTTTTGTTTTGGTTTTCATCAGTAATAGATAATGGTTCCAATTTCCCTAAATCCTTGCGAACCCTTGTTATTTTCTGTTTGGTTACCTGTCTGTTTGGTTGTTTTGTTGGCTGATTGATTGGTTGGTTGGTTAGTTGGCTAATTGGTTAATTGGTTGGTTGGTTGGTTGGTAGTTTGGTTGGCTGTATAGTTAGTTTGTTCGATTAGTTATTTAGTTGTTTATTTTGCTTGTTTGTTTGGTAGTTTGATTGGTTGTATGGTTAGTTGTTTGCTTGACTGGTTGGTTGGTTGTTCTGTTGTTTGTTTGTTTGTTTGGTTGGTTGGTTGGTTGGTTGGTTGGTTGCTATTTAACCTTATCGATTCTAGTGGCTGTGAGCGATAGCTTATGGTACTTCGGGTAGGTATCGTACTGGTAATGGCTAAGGATGTTGAGCATCTTTTCAAGTGTTCAGTGGGTGTGTGGTGCCTATTCTCTTTGGTGAAATATCTACTCAAGTCTTTTGGATTGGATTATTTGTCTTTTCATTTGTTGTTGTTAAGTTGTCTACATTTTTGCATACTTTCTGATTAATTCTTATCAGCTAGATGGTTTCAGAAGATCCCCCCCCCCAGTCATCAGTTGGATTAATTTTCATTGTGAAGTCTTTTGATGGACAAACATTTTTCATTTTTAATAAGGTCCCATATATTTAATTTCCCTTTTGCTGTTTGTGGTTCTGTTGTTCTATTAGAAAACCCATTGTTTAAAACTAAACCAGACAGTCACCCCTAGATTGTCCCTTAAGAGTTTTATGACTTCAATTTGTACAATTAGGTGTGTAATCTGTTTTGAAGTCTTTGGGGTATGGTGTGAGGACTGGCTCCTAGTTCTTTTTCCTGCATGTGGAAGTCCAGGCCATTTACTGCGTATTTATAATAGCAATCGCTGTACTCAGGCCCCGAGGAGTGGGAGCCCTGGAAACTCTCCCCTCTTCCCCCCACTGACCTCGCTCATCGGGATCCACCAAATCGGGCTCAGGCCGGAGGCCTTTGCATGTGCTGTTCCCTCTGCCGGGATTGCGCTTCCCCCTCCCTCTCAACTGGCTGTTCTTTCTTAAGCCCTCAGCTCACATGCCCCCTCCTCAGAGAGGTCCTCCCAGACCCCCAGTCCCTATCCAAAATGGCCACCCACTGTCCCATTCTCCCCTACCACCCTATCTATCCTGCGTGCTGGCGCTCGAGATCGCCCACTGCCCCGTTGCTCCATCATCTGCTCTTTCTGTCCCTGGCACCCTGTGAGGTGAGCTCCCTGGAGCAGGGGATGCCTAGACTTGTTCCTGGCAGGGTGGGCACACAGACCGGGCTCAGGAAAGGCTGCAGGTGGCTGAAGGGGAGGAGGGGTGAAGGAAGAGCAGGGAGTGGGCAGAGGAGGGGACCTAGGTGGGAAGAGGCCCAGAGATTGACCAGTGGGAGGTGGCATCCCTAAATGAGGCCCCCTTCTCCTCTCGCCACGCCTGTAACCCGACGAGGAGCTGAGGACAGTCCGGCCGTTTCTGGGCGGCTTGGTCAGAGCCAGACGGGAGAGTCGGGGTGGGTGCTGGCCGGGCCCGGGCAGGGAGCGTGCGCGCGCAGCTCTGGCACTAAATAATCATAACACGGTTGTGCCGCTAACGGAGATTTATGGGGCCCTTTCCCGGCCATGAGCTCCGTGTGCTTCCGCGAATATGAAGCCATTTATCTAAAGACAAGTTCCCTTAATCCGAGGAAAGATGGGTTCCTTGGAGAAAATGGTTCTCCAATCCCCACAGCCTAACCACTTGCTGTCGGGTTCTAAATTAATGGGGAGAGAGATGATGTTTTTCACGAGCGGCGGAGGTGGTGACGACGCAGCTGGCTCCCCACACGCAGTCTGCAGACATCTTGTGGGTGAAGCTAGGACAGGGCCCAGGTCCGGTACCAGCTCCTCCCTGACAGGCTGTGAGGCCACTTGCCATCACCTCTCTGAGCCCGTTTCCTCCTGTGTAAGATGGCCTCTGCTGGTACTTCGGATGCGCTATGGCCTGGCATGCGGTTGGCGCTCAATAAGCAGTCCCCACTTCCCCCGCCGTTATAGGTCGTCCAATCCCAGATCTCAAAGGCTCACTTCTCAGAAAACTGTTCATGATCCTCTTCTTCCACCACCCACTTCACAGAAAGAGAAACTCAAGTCCTGGCGAGAGCTGGGTCCTTGCTGGTGCACATAGGTCTCTTATAAGGTGCTGGAAGATTCTGGGAGATGTGTGCACCCCCCAGAAGAGAGAGGGAAGCCATTGAGATCATTGTCAGCACCTCAGATTGTGACCAAGCTGAAGCAAGGTTTAACATTCATCAGTCCCTTAATTAGCACAGTGGTTATTCGTTGGCCTGAGATCCCCAAGGTCAGCAGTTCGAAACCATTAGCATCATCTCAGAAGGCCCAGGACTTTCTACTCCCATAGTGACAAGGTCGGAAATTCACAGAGGCAGTTCTGTCCCATCCTATAGGATCGCTGTGGGTCGGCATGGGCTCGATGCCAGTGACTTTGGTTGTTGAGTTTACCACTAACTCAGCCAGGCTGGCATTAGCTGTCAACCCCCACCCCTTAGAGAGCACGCTGCTGCCCTCACGGATGTCCCCAGTCTGAGCCCAACTTCTCTCTCTCGTCCCCAGATGACCTGGTTCCACATGGACTGTCAGGACTTGATGACCCAGCTCAGGCTGGGCAAGGCCCAAGGGGCCAGCTCTGGGGACCAGCGCCGTCTCCACCGCTACCTGCATCGGCTGGCCTCGGAGTTCCCTGCTGAGAAGCTCACAGCCATGGGGCTGCAGGTGGCCTCCCTGAGCTGGGCAGGCCTGGGCCGGGACCTGTGGGAAGAGGCTCAGGGCCACCACGAGGAGATCCGGGCCCTCCTGACGAAGGCGTTGGCCCACTGTCCATGCCCAGCAAGTTCCACTGCCCACACGGCACATGCAGATCTGGGAGGGGCTGTCACCAAGGTCCTGGGTCTGAATAGAGGCTCCTCGAGGGGAAGGGGGCACCCACCCCCACAGGACTCACTGGGTGTGGACCACCTGCTCAAATCTCGCTGGCCTTCGCGGGCCAGCAGAGAGGGTCAGAACAGGAATTTCCAGCTAGGCCCTCTGCCCCATGCTGTAGAGGCTGATGGAGGCAAAGACCCACTGGATAGTGCTCTGGGAACTTCCCCTGCCACCCCCTTCTCCTGGCCCTGCTTCTCCAGGCAGCTTCCTCCCAACCAGCTCCCCTGCCTGGCTGGGGGCAGCTTTTCCTCAGAGGGGACAGACTCACAGACATCTCTGGAGGACTACCCTCAGACAAGTCCCCCTGCGTCCCTCTAGCGGGGAGCCCCTGTGAACTGTGTCAGGTCCAGGGGACAGCTGGGGTGGTGGCCACAGGAAGCTGCCGAGCCCTGGCCAGATTGTATGATGAGTGTCTGACCCAGGCTAGGGGGATGTGGACTGTGGGCCTGATTCCAGCTCCAGCCCCTCTCGTGGTCAGGAGGGTGCACAGTCAGGACCAGCGTGCCAATCTCGTTGTGGAAAAGAGGAGGTGGTACAGACCCCCCAAAGGTCTCCTTCTCAGCAGGCCCAACACCTGGAGGGAGTTTGGGACAAGACGCAAGCTTCCCCCTTTGTCACCGGGGGTGTGGCGGCATCCGTTTGGAATCCATAGGGTAGGCTGATCTGGAGATGGCTTCTTGCCTTCGCATTCCCACGGGAGCCGACGCTGAGACAAGGAAGCACACGTATGCTTCTTTGGCAGGGTGCCCGTTTCTGAGGGCTGCCGTCACCAAGCACCCCTCCTGGTAGCTCAGAGGAAGGAAAACGTATGGTCTCCCAGTCCTGGAGGCTAGTCATCCAAATTCAGGGTGTCGACAGGACATGCCCCCCTCTGAAGGTTCTCAGGGAAGACCACTTCGTCCATCTCTCCCAGCATCTGGTGGCCCCAGGAGCTCCTTGGCTGGTAGCTCCAGCGTCACACCACTGCACCTGGCCATGTGCCCCCTGCTTGAGTCTGCGTCCCTTCTCCTGTATAGGACACCACTCAGCTTGGACTAGGAACCACCGCTCCAGGATGACCTCTTGTTAGATAATCACATCTTCAAAGATCCTATTTCGCAAGTTACCACTAGGGTCAACTGGCCTCCATCCCCCTGGGGGCCCCTGGGGGGCAGAGTGGAACACATTCTGAGTGTCCCACCCAAAGGGTATGGCTCCACCAACTCTCATGAGTGTTTGGTTAAAGGCTACTCCTCGAAACAGTCATCCCACAGCACTTGAGGGCTGCAGGTGACTCGGGCTCCACTGGCCACGGAAAGGGCTAGCAGAGATGTACTGGCGGTGTGTGTGTTTGGGTGGGTGGGTGGGGTGTAGTGCATCTACTGCTCTGTCTTCTTGCGCTTCTCCAACAGGTATAGGACTGGCATTCCCACCTTTAGGGAGTGTCAGCACTCTTGTCTTTTCAGACCTCTTCCTATATTTTCTGTCTAGTGCCTCTCCGCACCACTTTCTGACTGTTGTGCATCCAGCTCTCTCTAGTCCCAGCCTTCGACCGCGTGGCAGCAGAGCTCTGCTGAGGATTGGGCCAGGCAGGGTCGGAAGCCCAAGCCCAGGCAGCAGGTGATGGGGAGAAGACTTCTGTACCCTCAGATCTCGGGATGAAGTATCTAGAAGCGAGCCTCACCCACCCATTGGCCAGACTGGCCCCCAGCAAGGCCTCCCTGACCAGCATTCTGCTGAGTAAGGGCCTCTCTCTCTGCCCTGGGACTCTGCCTCACCCAGCCCACCCTCTGGTGGCCGCCCCGGGAGGATGGTGGGAGAGGGGACAGGAGACCAGAGCAGAGTTCCTCAGGAGTGGCCTCAGAAAAGCATGTGCCAACAGCCTCCAAAGGGCCTCTGGAGGTTTCTGAAGACACCCGGTTTCTCCAGGTGTGCCTCGGGCCTGCCGGTCTCAGAGCTGCCAGGAGCTGAGCTGGCCTAGCTCCCTGGGGATCGTCACCCCGGGCCGCTGGACTCTGGATCTTGGGGTGAGGGCAGCTGGAAGCTGAATCTGCCCAGAACCGTGCAGGTGACCCCTCAGGCAACTCAGCACATCAGTTGCTACTGGGAGACACCTGAAACTGAGAGCTGGGACTCCTACCCTTTCCCCGCCCCACCAAGTCAGTGCTGCCTCCTGAGTCCCCCTCTCCCTCTAGCCCAGACCCGCCCAAGAGCACTGGAGGGGTTTGATCCATCCATCTCCATCCCTGCCTGTTGCCTCAGAGGGGGGCCAAAGGCTCTGCAAATGCTGTTGTCATGGCAACAGCATCCAACCGGGTCGGGGCCAGAGGCAGGGAGCCAGAGAATCTGGGGTACAAAAATGAAAACTGACTTCCAAGGCCCCACAGCTTCTGAGAGACCACAGCTGAGTAGGAGGGAGATGGAGGGCAGTGGGGGGCTGGGGTGGTCCAACAATCCTTGGGTGGGAGGGGTCCCCAAGGTCACCTTGTGCATTCCTCTGCCTCTAGACAGAACTCTACCCAGAGTCGCATATCTACTTACAGCAAGCCCTCCCTGGGGCAGGCAGCGATGCAGACATGAGCCATGATAAAATAGCATAATGCATAATAATAATAATATGAATAGCTAGCATTTATTTCGCCTTTCTCTTCTGCCTCTCTCTGTGCAAAATCCCTCAACAGGCTTCCCCAGGCTCACTGGCTGTGAATCCAGTGCTGCTCTGGCTGCTACCCCATTTTACTGAAGAGGAAATGAGACTCGGGTTCGGGGCCTGGCCCAGGACTGTGCACGCAGCAGGGTTGATGCTCACCCCCAGGCAAGCCTGAGCAGATCGCTGGGTCTGCTGTGGAGGGTCTGGGCCCCTTCTGCAGTCCCGTTGGGTCTGGCCACTGGCTGGGACCCTGGTCTGGACTGGACTTGACCCTCACTGCCTTATTAAGCATCCGGTGCAGAACTCAGACCCGGGCCCTCACCATCTGGATGAGAAGGAAGCCTGGAGCCAGCAGCAGCCGCCCGTCAGCGGGAGGCTACAGTAGAGATGGGGGGCGGGGTGGGGGGGGGAGCGGCCAGCTGCAGCCTTGCTGCCTTTGTTGGGCCTGGCTCCTGGGCTGTTCCCGGGGAGCACCTGCATCCAAGCATCCTGTTGTGCAGGACGCAGTGTGGTGGCTCCATGGTTAGTCACGCAGGAGCTGCGATTGAGCTGCCGGGGGTCCCAGGACTCACAAGCCAGGAGACCCTGGCCAGATTATGTTCCTTTGCTGGGCCTCCATTTCCTCTGCTGTAAAGGGAGGCTAATAGGCCCTGAGAGGCTTGTTGGGAGCGCTAAATGAAGCCTGGTGTGGAAAGCTCCGGGGAAGGTGCTCCATCAAGGGTATCTACTTCGGCATCCACCCTGCCCACCCAGCTTCATCACCAGACAAGTCCAGGAAGGCATTTCTCCCTCGGCCCCCAGTGAACAGCCTTGTGGATCCCCTCAGAGTTGCTCACTCACTTTAAGGCCCTGAGGGGTCACTGGAATACCAGTTGCCTCTTAAAAGCCAACAGGGCCTCCTTTCATGGGCTTTTGCCAACACTTGCCTGTGGGGGGATGGGACTGGCATGTGGGGAGGACTTCCCGCCAGTGAGGCCATCTTGGAGGTTCTTTGGGTTGGGGGGGGGATGTAGGTGGTAGCGTGCCCCCATGGGGTTTATCACAGTAGGCAGCTTGTTTGGGAAGAAAGGGGATGAGTCTTTTCAAGAGCCCCATGTCTTCCAGTGACATCACTGTGGCAGAGAGGACCCTGGGAGAATCCCTGTGAGCCCCCACCTCCCACCTGCTGTGAGAGCTCACCCCCCTCCCACCCGCTGTGACAGGAATCCCCTTTTTGAGCCCAGAGGCTGTGGACAAGGCATGGTAGGAGGACAAGGCATGGTAGGAGGAACGCCCCTTGGGGGTCAAGGGCCCCATATGCTACTCCTGCCCTTCGCTGATTCCCTGGGTGACCTCAGGCAGGTGGCTTCCCCTCTCTGGTCTTTCATGGCCCCCATCCATTCACTGGGAGCATAAGGTGGACAAATTCGCTTTATCTTTGGAAGCAGCCCTGCCTTTGAACCCAGGGTCCACCTGGACACTCCAAGCAGGTGCTGGCCCTCTGGTTCCTCGTCTGCTCAGTGCATTTGTAAAGCAGGACGCTTTGTGGAGCTCTAAGTTCCACCCACCCTCCTTACTCCAGGGGAGTAGTGGTCTGATGAAAGATCCAAGCCCTAAAAGTCGACTAGGCAGTGACATGGAGCAGAGGTGACGTCTAGACACTGTGGATTTGCAAAGGATTTTCCTGTGCATCTGATTCTCACTGCAACCCAGGACACAGAAGCCAGGCTCTGATGGCCCCATTTCACAGCTACAAAGGCTGAAGCCTAGAGAGGGAGAGGCATGGCCAAGGTCACACAGCCAGGAATGGAATGGGGCAGCAGAAACCTCAGGGTCCGGGAGAGCGTTTGTCAGCCACTCTGAAGTGGCCATGCCGTACCCTGTGCCCTCCGCCTGCCCTGGCCAAGCCCAGACACAAAAGCTGGCTAGGGTCAGGGCATAGTCTACCCTTAGGGAACAGACATGTTCTGTTCTCTGGGGGCTGTGAGCTAACTTCCTGCCCAAGACAATCTTGTCTGGCATGAAACCCCACCCTCCTGGCTGCAAAATAGCTCTCTGAGACTGAAGCCAGCAGCCCCCCTGGAGAGTTAGAGCTCAGGGTCCTGTCCCCAACTACCAGGGGCATGATAGAGGGCCTTGAGGGAACCACTCCACCGCCCCCCCACCGCTCACTTATCTCATCTGTGGAATGGGGGTGATGGAGCCAGGCCAAGGATGACAAGGGAGTGTCATCTCCCATGTGGAACCCTTGGTCTGAACTCCCGTTTCTGCCTCCCTGTCAGTGAGGGTGACTGTCATCCAGTCACCCAGCCTGGGCACCTGCACGTTGCTTTGAGTCCCTGCCCCCAAAATCCAGCCCCAATCTCTCTAATCCTCCATTCTCTCCCCACCTTCCCACCCTCCGCCCAACCCCATCCGCTCTGTCCTGGACTTCTTGAATGGAATCCTCAATGCTCTGCCTGCAGCCGCTCAGAACCCCACACCATCTCCCCCTCCGAGGACAGAGCAAACATGTAAAAATCATGCCGGTCCCTGCTTGTCACTGCCTAGTGCCACCCCGTGGCTCTTCCGTAAAACCCCAACCCACATGGAGATCCACAAGGCTCTTTGCATGCCAGGCCTCTGCCCGCCACTTCCTGGTGGCTGTGGAGTAGGCTGCACCTCACGGGAACCTTACGGACAGTCGAACAAAGTGTGTCTGTCCTACGCCATCTTCACGCCCTGGTTGCCTTGAGTCCATTGCTGCAGCCACTGTGTCTTTTAGGGGCCTTCCCACCTAGGGTGTAGTGGTTAGGTATTGGGCTGCTAACTGCAAGGTCAGGAGTTCAAAACCACTAGCCGCTCTTTGGGATAAAGACAAGGCTTTCTACTCCCGTAAAGAGTCACCTTCTCAGAAACCCACAGAGGTAGTTCTACCCTGTCCACTAGGGTTGCTGGGAGTCATTATTCACTCGATGGCAGTGAGTTTGTTTGGGTTTTTTATTGCTATTGAGTTGATGCCTAGTCATAGCGACCCTACAGGACCGGGTAGAACAACCCCTGTGGGTTTCGGAGTCTGTAACTCTTTACAGGGGCAGAAAGCCCCGCCTTTCTCGGAGGAGCTGCTGATGGGTTTCTAACTGCCGACCTTGTAGATCGGAGCCCAATGCTTAACCACTACACCACCAGGGCTCCTGACTCAATAGCAGTGAGGGTTTTTTGTTCCCACCTAAGGGGATGGGGCTGCTAATCTTCCAGCAGGTAATCAGGCGCGATTCTGTTGTGATCCACAGGGGTTTCACTGGTTAACTTTTGGACGTAGGTCACCAAATATTTCTTCCTAGTCTTTCTGAGTCTGGAAGTTCCACTGGAACCCACCCACGTGACAGACCCTGCTGGTATTTAAGACACTGGTGCTATTGCTTCTAGTATCATAGCAACATGCAAGCCAGCAGAGCATGGCA